ATTTTATATGACAATAACATTATTCGTAACTTCGTTACTTTTCTTAAATTTAAAGTCGTTACTCGTTACGTCGTTGCTTCAAAAAAAATTGTAAAGTCCATAAAAAGTTAACGAAATATGTAGTGGCAAATTATCCGACGGTAAAAATTGAAAGTTTACTATCATCGACATTATTAGATACTTAAATTAAAATATCATTTGTGTCAATCCGCTTAAAAAATAAAATTTTATTGTTGTTTAGATCATCTTGCGGCAACCAACTTCGGCATATCATAGCAATAAAATCTAGTTTTTTCCATTATTATTGTTCAAATTTATTGATAGTAATTTTTCACGGCAGCCATTAACGTTTTTTATTGCCTAGATTTGAATAATTATTATAATAATAGAGTAGCTTAGATGACTTGAGTATACAATAATACAACAAGAAGAAAAGAAAACAATGTATTTACCAAGTCACGCGCGAAGTCACAGGACAGCATTTATCCTATATATTACATACTTCCGTGCTGGCTATATCGCGAGATTTCGCCGTGGCCAAAAAGTTTTTATTCGATGCGCGCGCATAAGCACGGAAGGAGCTCAGCATATATATATATATATATATTTACGAGAAGTCTGCTGGGATGAAAGAGAGAAAATCGCCTAGGGTTGAATATCTTCGCGGCAAGTTTTTCATGAATACGACGACGACGTCACGTTCGCGCACTGGCATACCAAAGAAACAAAGAGGTGAAAAAAAAATTCGGACTTTCGCGGGCGCGCGGAAGTGGAATAAATTCGAAACTTTGTCCGATATCTACTGTTTTACTCAGATAGAAAGAGAAAGACTGTGTCAGCAAGAAAGGAGGACAACTGCAGCTACGAACGCTTCCTTTTTTTATTAATACAGTGTCAAAGGATGACGCGGATACACTCTGCTGTGTGACGAGAGGACGAGAAGGAGGGGGGGGGGGGGGGGGGGGATTTATGGCTTATTTAGAACTCGCACATACAGCTGCTGTAAGATGTATATGCTTGTCGCGCGTAATATGTAAACAGACCTCACACTACTTGCCGAATGGAATACGCAGTGAATATGAATATGCATTTCAGTTATTCACAAAGATGGCAGATGATTTTTGAGCCAAGTAAGTTTGCATTCGTATTATTTGAAAATCGCAATAGAACAAGTTCTATAAAATCAATGAGCTACGTGTGAGTGCTTTTCAAAGCAATGATTGTACAAGAGACTTATGCATAATCAGTAGTAAAGCAATGAACTACTTGTAAGTCACACGTAATCATTGTACGATAAAGTTCTCTGAAGCCTCCCTCTTGTCGACAAGCAACTGGCAAAATACGAGTAAACTATGCGTCAAAGCGACAGAGACCAAGTTCGCAAAGTGCTCGCATAATTTTATTCGAATTTGCATGTCATTCGTAAATAGTTGACAGTCCTGGACTGCTTAAATCTCATCGTTGCGAAACGATTTGCCGGAGTTTTCATTCAATTATACTTGAGTGTATATATTACGTTACAAGATGATTGCTTATTACACAGTTGATGTATTTTACTTTCAAACGTAAACTTATACCGATACTAATTTATCGATATGACATTTTCATTCGAATGGATAAACGTTTTAAGTTATTATATCTCTTGTACGTTGTTTTTTTTTCTTTTTGTACAGAATGAATCACATTGAAATTCCAGTTCAGTACATCTTTATTCACATCGAATGAACATAAAATATTCGCATACTCTGGATAATGTACATATAGCAATGGGAGAAATCGCGCAGAGAAAGATTTTTCAGACCTGACCCGCCGACCTATTTCAGCTATATACACTGATATAATAAATATATCCCGGGAGTTGAAAGTCTTCGCCGCGCCGTGCGAAGAAATATCGGAAAAATCCATTGATGGGTATTTTTAATATACATGTATAGAATTCGGGCGTATTCGTTGTAGGAGAATCTCGAATAATTTGGTCGTTTGTCGTGTTCGAAAGAGAGATTCAGGAGTCGCCTACTGGGCGCGAGCTTTTGTTCGTAATGCCTTTGGCTATCGGAAATATTCGCGCTCTCGCAAGCCTGGATATGAACTTCTAGAATCCAGATAATGAATGCGATAATGAAGAAGAGCCCCAGGGATTGTGTTTTCAGAAAGTAGCTTCAGCGTTTTGCTCTTGCCGTTTGATTAATAACTGCCTAAAATTTTGTGTGAAGCTGACTTCAGTTGGAATTAATGCTCATTGTTCGTTCCGATCAACGGCCAATGAAAAAACTGCCAATTGACTTTACATGAATAAGTACTAATCATATAAGTATCACAGTTAATATCAGCCAATTAAATAGCAGAAACTTTCATTGTTACATCTGATTAATTTCATATCAACTGATTTATTCATGGAACATTGCATATCGGACTTTAAAAATACGCAAAAATTCTTATAAGAATAATTAAATTCTACTGAAGTTTACAAACAAACAATGATACAGCTATTGTTCTTGGAAAAAGAGATCTCTTACATAACATATCAACAGATAAGAACGATAACAAGTTGGTAAAATCACTAAAGCAAAATCGAGCGATCGGTTAGCGATGTCAATACCCTGGTTTACCTTCATGTTATAAATTTCCTCTGCAAGTGCGTGACCATCTTTTAAAAGTCCTATATTAAATTCTTTCGTATTTTCGCTCTCACTAAATCACTCAGGGACCTTTACGGTTATGCAATTTAAAGGCCACTCTCCGTTATAAAGCTCGCGAAAAAAATGCTCCAATGTTCCTGGTGCATAAAGAAACTTTAGATTTATGAGAAAATAGTCTTTTTAAAAAAATGCCATTTCTCTGAGGATGCGTGAAAGAATGGTATGATTTTTCAAAAGTTTATAGGCTCTAAATTCAACGACAGTTTTGAAAATATGCTTCTTTTAAGAACACTTACTTGTTTACTGATTTACATTTATTTATCAACAGACTTTTTGAGTATAGTTTACTTTGTCGGATTCGCAAATATCCTTATATAAAATATGATTGTAGTATTCATAAATACAATTTAATAGAATTTAAATGTTATTTCTTAAAAAAATCAACATGTACGCTAAAATGTAAAAAAGAAAAACATTACTTTGTTTTTCACAATATTCCACAAACAAAATATCCAGCTATAAAATTGATACTCGACGACAAAAAACGACCAAACGGAATTACTTTTAATATCAGCGTTGAAATAGTCTATATTGCTTACGCGCACGTTGACCGTAACAATAAAAATAAATGCACAAGCCCATATGTACATAACATTTGGATATGTACGTGACTATATACGTAGTTCTGGCTCTTATACTTCAGTGCATACACGCCGTTACAACACACAATGCCTAGGCACAGGAAAATTCGACTCATCTAAATCCAATAAAACGATCAAAGTTTTGTTTGACTTATACGAGTATACATACATACATAAATGTGCGCGCGTGTGTGTGTGTGTGTGTACAACGAAAAAAAAAAGAGGTAAAACTAATTTTTTCCGAAACGGCGTGCAGTCATTATTTTCCTATCCGTCGCCGCGTGCGGCGAATAAAATGTCTACGTGAATAAATAAGAAATGAGACCCGCGAGGCAAGAGCGAGAAAAAATCAATTACCAAGTAGAAAAATGATATCGATTAAGATTTTTCCTTTACGTTATATTTCTACCAGACTAAATTTTCATTCATCTTTTGCACACTTAACTAATATTGTCTCGTGTAAATATCCAATGAAAAGAGTTTGAAAGAAATTTCTACGAACCCCCTCCTTTTAATCATGCTGCGATGAGCATCCAATATCGGATTGTGTTTCATTTTATAATGTGCTGAAGGGAAGATTTTTGATAAGTTATACCGGTTCTTTTTAAGCGTCTGTTGAATAATGAAAATCATTTGATTAAAATAAAATTGCTGGTAATGTCTCATCAATCGTTCGTAAAAGTGTAATGTGCATAGATTGAAAAAGCCGTTGGTTATGGATTCAATCGTTGCGCGTATACATAAAACTGATTTCACGTGTTGTATACTTCGAGTTCCCAAATAAAAATCGACATTTCAATACTCAAGATCGCTTCTCTTGCTTCAATATCGTTTGGCAACATTATAAAACTCGCGAGAATATCTCGCAGTAAAAGTATTCAAGCCCAACGGAAGAAAAAAGAAACGAATATATATATAGACACTTGTCAACGACAACGAGGCAAAACAAATTTCAATAAAAATGAAAGCGACTGAACCATTCCTCGCTATCGTATCATAAACGGCTTACACTACGCGGAAGAAGCCTTGGCCGTTATAGTGATTACTGCGGCCAAGGAAAATGATACCGTAAACTCGGACGCCCACGCTCACTCGTTTGCGCAGAGGGGAAATATCGTTGCGGCGCTATCGTCTCTATTTTACCGCCAAATGCAGTTCGTTACTATACGCGGACATTCAAGTCGTTGTTGCGCTGAATCTTCGGTTTTCAAATTATTATGCTTCAAGCTTCCATTTGAAACAAATCGACATTCTTTTACATTTAATAATTCAAAATAAACCACTTTTAAAGCTCACATTACTTACACCGTCAATAGAGTCTATAAACACGGAGTAAATCACACGTTTATAACGGACAAGTAACAGCCTGTAAACTCTGTACTTTTGTAGGGTACTTCGAGTAAAATAGAAGGACCGAGAGTTATACCGTCGTAAAAATCATAAAAATGTCATCGACCTATTTAATAAACAAATAAACTTACATTTTATGATAGTTACATTTTAAGCTACTCTAGAGAGATAAATATAGAGAGCAGAAGTAACCAATATAGTCTTCAGAATACAATTCCATTAGAAATATTAGCAAGCTCACAGGAAGACGACGATCAGGTGATTTAAGCATTGCAAAAAAATGACATGTCATATTCTCTTTTGAAAATAATAAATATAAAAACGAGCTCAGGAAAATAATGCAGCCTGAAAAGATAACATAATAACTAACCGTTTAGAACGTGGACGGATACAGTGGTGGCAGCGACGTCGGCGAGAGCGCAACTATAGTTGCCGCTGTCCTTTTTGTTGGCGTTGGCGATGTAAAGGCGCGAGACCGCCCCCTCGGCGCCCATGTCAGTTTTTACGCTGTAACAGAAACCACACAACTGTTGTATATCCGTGAATACATTGACTTCATAATTCTATATATTGCCTTACATTCAAAGTTCGACCTATGTATATGGTAAATAAATTTGACCTTGTTTAGACTTTTAATTGTGATCAGATAATTATTATTAAAAAAAAAGTTACGCGTAGAATAATTTCGTAAATTTATCCGTGAAAATAGAATTCTTGTAACCCACTTATAAAACGGTATAAGAACAATATTTTACAATACGAAATTAATGCGTGAAATTGATTAGCTTAGACTCAATATATTATGCACAAAGTAGATTGCAACAAAATCAGTTAACCGATCCTTTTCCACGGAAAGCTAAAGGCTTTGTCATACTCTCTCAGCCACTATAGGTCTAACATCTTTGCCATCTGTATGCATACCATTCATTTCCGTTGCCTAGTTGAAGTGGCCAAAAACATTCACGTGGACTTTTTCTTCATAAGATTTACACCTACACGGGTAAGAGAACGCAGGGTTCTGACGCTGACGAGATGCTGTCCCGTATATGTATGTATACACACGAAAGAGAAAATTTACGGTACACTCGACTGATACTTTTCCCCGTCCTCACCTACTAATTTCTGCTCGTCATATGAGAATGTTTAATGTGAGAATTTGATCATGCCTTGATGTCGACAGCGTTTTTTCAGCACTGGGTACTTTTCCGCTGGCTTTCGTTTTCTCATTTAGACAAAAATTAACAATTATTCCAGTGAATGATGCTTTGAGATAAAAAGATTTTGTATCAGACAAGCATTTACCACTAATTTAAATTTATAGAATTAAGAGAAAATAAATTATTAATTACTCTTGACGTTGCTATGGGCTGGTATAAAATAAAATAAAGGAAACGATAATTTATATTATTCAGAGCTCAGAGGTTCGAATTTTCTCCACACCCCTGCTATAATTTCTCATTAACGAAGATTCTGCTACTGAAAATACACAGGATACTTAGGGTGGTTATCTTACTCTTAAGGCTCATCAATCAGCATTAGCGTACACAAATATTTGCAAGCGTGCCGCTCATTTGGTTGTGAGAGGTCAACGTGCAAAACGTAATACTTTTTACTTTAATGTAAGTTGAACGGCTCCACCTCCCCTCCCCCCGTCCCTCATATATTTTCTCTCTCACTCTCTTCCGGAGTGAGGAGAGAGTATGAAGGCTGTGGCTCGTGGCCGACTTTTAAAAGTACTCGCGTTGGGCGTATATAAATCAAGCTGGACTGAGCTTGGCACATCGGAAGAGGAAGCTTCATTTTTGCCTCTCTTTCTCGCTCAGGCTAATTCGTGGAAAAAAGCTACTGCTGTGAGAACCAGAGAGAGAGAGTCAGAGAGAGAGAGAGAGAGAGAGTGTTCGCTCTGGAGACGCTCGTTTCCTTGGCTTTTTTTCTTTTCTTTGCTTTACTTAAAAAAAATTTCGACTCTATGGTGGACAATGTGATAAAAGTACTTTTTCCCTTGAACTTTAATTTTTAAAATGTATAATGCTGAGAATTTTCGTAGAGATATGTAATAATAGTTAATAAAATTATTCTTTCCTTATGGCAAACTCCATCCTATATCGATTTTGAATAATAACAACGCTTATTTCACCACAAAGTCTTCGCTAAAAATGTGAATTCAAATAGTTGTCGATCCTCAAGAAAGAAAAGGAGAGCGAGCATCGGCAAAACACGCGCAGACAAGCAACGCACAGTGTTTTCAGTTCGGCTAACAATAGGCTCCGGCACACCGCACTAACACCGGTCGTAAAAGGGAAATTCATGTCTCGGGAAAAAGCTGCCCGGACCCACTTGTTGACAAGTCGTTTGTTCAGCACTGATCTTGTTTTTGTGTTCACTACCGTTCAAATTTTTGTCGGCGCGATAGTTCAGAATACTGCTCTTGACCTAAATTTAGTTATACCTATGTTAAGTTATACACATTGAAAAAATGTTCGGGTTAAGGAGGGGTGCGAATAATAACTCAAAATAAAACACAAAACATTAAATCGAAAGTACAAATCAAATTACGATACAAATCAATCGACGCACTCGATACAAATCGCTGTTTACGACTTCAAAGTTATTTGAGTTAAAATGGTTTTCTGAGGGTTTCGCCTCACTCGTACAGGGCGCGTTAACAATACTTTCGCACATATACAATAATATCATATCTCTGACACTTCTATGTGTAACGAAGATTTTCCTAATTAACTTAAGAATTAGCGCATATACTACGCGCAAAGTACTTACAAGGCAAGACCGAGTATATATGACAAATAACATTGGCTACAATAAGTCTAACACAAGTACTAGTATAGTAAAATATGTTGTGGTGACGCAAATTCAAATTTTTTCGATAATGTTTCATATAACAATGATAAGCTTTCCGTCAAATGGTAGTTTGTGAAAATAGTTATTTCTGCTAAAAATTGCGGCATGCGGACAATTGTATACGGCTTTTTTGTATAGATATGGTAAACTATTGTGCACAATAACATGGCATGAATCAGCTTGTATTAATTCTTACGCTATATTACTGTACACAATAATTTGTGTGTATAATAAAACCAGTGACAGTTATCCGCAAGCCAAAATTGCTGCAGACAATTTTCCATGATACAGTTTCCAACTATTCTGGAAAATTCTAAAATTATTCTATCATTACAAGAAAATCATAAAAGTCTAGACTTTATCTTTCAGCATGGCGCTAAACTTAATATTTACAACCTTTATGTATAGTTTGCAAACAAAAAACCAACCAACTCTATAATCCTCTGAAAAGAAAAAAATCTCATAACTCCATAGCCATGATTCTAGCAATTAACTTTTTAACCGTGTCCCCGCTATAAATAGGAATCATCCCATTAACTGGCCTTACTCTTTCACGCATTCCCTTCTCACGCTACGACCGTGAGCGCGCCTCGAAAATATTTTTTTTGCTGGAGGCAACTTTGCGTAATTACATTTTCTTCGTGAAGTGAATGCACCTGAAAAATGCAGAGGTTATACGAATACCATCCTTTTGGTCCTCTCTGGCTTGTCTCATGATTACGTAAGTTTACAAGTCCTCGTGAAATGAAAGCGAAAAAAAGGGCTACGTCTCCATATCTGATTTGTTTATATAAGCTCCTCATACTGAAATATATTCGCAAAACCCCTTTTTTTTTCTTCTTGCGTATACATTGGAAATTGCATAATGCGAAAAGTCTTTTGTGAAGTTATCAGCGCAAATAAAGCAAGCGTTTCTTCGCCCGCGGCTCTTAAGACAATCGCGCGCATCTGTTCGTATAACGGGGGATTCGACTATTTCGTTTTCATTGCTAAACAGACAAATAAAAAAAGCGCTTGTTCTTCGAAAACAATTAATTTCTAATTAGCCGAATGAAATTCACATTTCTTATTATCTTTCGTTTGAGCAATTTTTCAAAAATTAATCAAAAAACGAAAATGTTCATCAAGAGATGGGGAAACTGCTGAGCAAAGCGAACGCTCTCGAATTCCCAGAGCATACGTCTTAATTAACGACAAAACCAGGTTAAGCCCTATTGCAGCATCAATCAGAGAAAGAAAAACGTCGTGAGAGATGACTTGCAGGGAGGTGGCGATGGGGGAGTTGCACTGCGTGCGTCGTAAACGTCGTTTTATCGCCGCCCACGACTTAAGCGAAACATTAGCAAAGTTGTCGGAGTAAACGCCCGGCGATTATTAAAGCCCAAGCTGCACGATAATCCCGCGACCACGAGTAGAAAGAGCTTTTCAGAGTTTCACATTCGAAGCGGAGGATCGTACCAAGTTGCTCAATTACCGACGAGAAAAGTCGGTTATGAGACGAGGCAAAGTGTCACAGATTGATAGCAAATGAAATTGGAACTTCTCTAATAGCTTAATTTAGATATAAAATATGCCGTCGGATGTTAAATACTTTTTATAATAGTCATTTTAAGCTCAAAATTTTCTGAGAGTCAGCAAAGTTTTTTATTAGTTTTTTATGTACACGCTTTTGTGGATTTTGTAAATTATATTTTACCAAATTCTATAGATATTCAATATTATGAGCGCAAGGAGTGTGCGAATGCAATAAATAAATATTACCATAAGATCATATCTCTCTGGAATATTAAGCTACTATTATAAATCAAATAAGTTATCTTAAATAACTGACTAATCGTTCGTTATACTTCCTATTAATTAATAACGAAATATAAATTAGGACCCGTACGAATTGTTTAAAATGAAGATTTCAAAATTTACTCGCCAGGAAAGCATACCAATAAAATAATTGAACAAAACGTATATATCAATATCTTTCTTTTGATTGAAATGTGATCAAAAGAGTCGGAAACAGAATTTAAATGAAAATTGCCTAATGCCTACATAACCAAACTTGATTTAAACTACTAAAAATTTACTACCTGAAACAGCGAGTGTAAATAGGAGTGAAACTAAATTATTAGTTGATATTTTTATTTCTACACTATAAATTTAAGATAATCAAATTTCAAATATATTTCTTGAAATAAATTGTGTATAAATTAATAAATCGTACAAAATTAATAAATTTATAAATACAACAATCGACGAGTATGATGCTGGGCATAAAAAGATTTGCCATGCTTATATTAAATAGGTTTCTTGGGATTTTGTAGAAAGCCTTTTAAGAGCTCTTTGCGTAGCTCAAAAAGCCTTTGTAAGTCTTCGACGCGTTGAAGAAAGTGAATAGTGATTTTCCCTGCTCTCAATTCAACACCTTGGTCCTTCCAGATTTGCTTTCAATCACAAAACTCTTATATTCTGGTTTCAATTTGTTTTCTCTCTTATTTATTATCATTCCGCCTTAATGTTATTTATTAAAATTAGTACTGTCTAGATGAAAATATAATTTAATATCTATTCATTTCTCTTTCACTCGATGTATCAATTACATTTTTGAAATATTTTTTGTTCCACAAATGGAATTTGGTAATCAAGTGTCCTGTCTT